ATGAGCTAGTAGGATTTTCTCTTTACTCTTCAGCAGCTTACATTTAGCTCACAGATGGCTTCTGTCTCAATTCAGTTTAATCCAATCTGCTTACCTCACTCTGTCCTATACTCACCTATATGAATGTTTTTTTGGGTGGAAAACAGCTGCTTCTTCCTGCTGATGTTGGCATACGGAATATAGCAACAGCACTTCCTTTCACTCATCATGTGTCCATGGCTCTCAAGGTCAAAATTGCTGAAACCAAGGTAAAGGGAATTGAGTTTCTTTAGTGTTGTATGTCACCAGATAGTATTTAGAGAATTAGACAGCTACTGTGGGGCTCGAAAAAGCTTTGCTTTCATTCCTACAGAGTGTTCTTCAATGTTTTCTTCCTAAAAAAAAAGCCAACCAACAAACTGCAAAATAAAGGACACTTTATACTATAGTGCTGGTAGTAAGTACTGCAAAATATATCTTATAAAAATATATCTTATTCTTCAAATAAATTATCTTATTCTTCAGAAATTATCTTATTCTTCAATATTCAATAAATTATCTTATTCTTCAAAATATGTGATGTAGTTCCATTTATGAGATACTGTTCTTGGAAGTGTCTAATAAAATCCTACATTTGATGACACCAGTGATTTCCTAAGATTTTTTCTTTAATATTGAATAAATGCCCCTGCATTAACTTGGTGGGGGTTTTTGGTGGTTTTTTTTTTTTGCTTTGAAATACCTGAATATTTAGAAAGAAAGCGTTTGAAAGTAAAAAGTATTCTGAGTTTAAAAAATATATGTTTAAATTTCAGTGGAAAAGTGAAATAAAAAGAAAAATATTAAGTAGAATGTGATGCAACTGGAAAAATTTTCAAAGGGTTTTCATTTTCATGTTACATGCATTTCCTTAGTTTACTCAACTAAGCAAGGCATGCTATACCTAATACATGACTACATCCTTAGGACAGGGACTAAGAATATTCTGGCTACACAGAGAAAAATACTGGGCCTTTGACACAAGTGAAATTTGTTGCTGACTTCAAGGGATAGTAGGAATTCACCTACTATAATTAGAGGTCAACTGGTCATTGGCTCACAGCCATCCTTCAGCTCTGTGATTTTTACTGAAGTCCTGTCTAACTGCTTTTATTACAGTACGAATCTACATCTAGAACAGATTAGGCTTCAAGGAGGCAGCTGCTAGGGGAGGGGCAGTGGATAAAGGAGAATTACAGGAAATGTGCCTCTGCTCAGAGTAAGGGAATTAAAATTATCCCCACCAAAAATATGCCAACTTCAAATGCTTAGAGATACTTTCAGGTGGGTAGGAGGCAGCATGGCTGCCAAACGTGCATATCACATTGTAGTCAATGGACATTACAGCAACAATGGATTACACTGTGGAAAAGAAGTGATCAAATGGGCTATTTGGCCAATTTTAATTTAGAATAAGATGACAGTGAAAAAGGGAAAGCTGTATTTAGCCCTCAGACTAACCTGGCTGAAGAGCTTAATTGTTCTCAGTTTTTGTTTGGCTTTATGTTGACATAGGAAAAGAAGCAAAGCTGTGCTAGGCTTACTTATTGGCAAGTATCAATTTGTACAGGCATGGTGGATTTCTCTCCTATTGCATTAGAAACTAAAGCTTCTCACTCTGTCCTTGTAGGAGGTAGATGTACTATTCAATATTTAGCACTTTTCAATATTCAGCAATATAAAAAGAAATCTTTTGCTAAATTCACAGAACCCACACTTCTGTCAATGTCGGGTGGTTCTGTAAACATGTTATCCAAAACGCTGCCATTCAAATAACTAAGGCCAGAAGCAAACATCAGAGTTGTTTAGGTGAAGCTTCATCCAGAGACCCATCTGGTTTTGCTTTGAAGCATTATTTTTTTCCAAAGACAGTTTGCTCCATTGCCTAATTGCCTTTACAATTAAAAATGTCCTTCACACATCTTTCGAATTTGTCTAGCTATAACTTGTAGCTGTTTACTTCTTGTGGCTTTTCTGATAGATTAAAGAGCCCTTAAGTACCTGGTATTTTCTGCCTGTGAGGGTACTTATCCATCATAATCAAATCAGCCCTCGGAGCTAAACAGATTGACCTCTTTAGGGCTGTAGTCCTAATGAAAAAAGACCAACCCTCAATGCCATTTCTGGCCATCAGCTCCCTTTAGTGGATCTTCTCTGCACCTTCCTAATTTTTTAACTTGCTTTAAAAATTGCTGGCACCGAATTGGATGCCACTTTGTCTTCGCAGTGCTGTGTTTAGAGGTAATACTTCTTCCTTGTTTCTGTTCATCTTCTCCCACCTTAAAACCCAAAGCCTTAAGGGCTTTTGTGTCACAATATTGCAAGAGAAGCCCATAAAAACGAGTTAGTATGAGCTAATGCTCATCTACAGGCTTTTTCAGGGTCACTGACTCCATGAATAAGGGCTCCTTTTACCAACATATAACAAACTGTGTTAAAATGGAAATTGCACTTTAGAGCTGGCTTGTGTTACATTTTTCACTGCCATCTCACCTGCCAACTGTGTTTTATTTAAAAATGGGGACTTGAAAAGATTTTATAACTTTTTTTTTCCTTTATTAATATTCAGTCAGTTGCCAAGAACATTATCCAAATTTACACTCAAAATCTACAGCAATGATAAGGACACCCAATAACCAATTTAGATAAAAATTCTTGAATAAAAAAGCAAATATATAAAAAAGCAAGTCTTTTTCAAACTTTTCTAAATGATTGTTTAAACTTCATAGTATCTTATATTTTGGGGATTTGGTTTCATTCCTTTATTATTAGTTGTCCTCCAAATAATTCCTCTTCCGTTTTAGTTATGAATATGCAATTATTGTTTCCCATATCTTGGTCCCTGAAACCAACCTATACACATGTTATGTCTTCTACCTTTTTTCGGAATTGAGTCCTATTCCTTTATTAATTGTTACCTATTTTTTCTAGCATTTATTCCCATTGCAAATATGGTGTCACATTCAAAGAGGTAAAGACTGGCATCTTTTGCATTGATATAATGCTTCACTATATGCATAGTCCATAGTCCGTAGTCTCTGCTTGCCATTCTGATACATTGAGAAATTGCACTGGGGCCCTGATATTTTGCTGCTTCAGTTATGCAGGGTCACTTATCCTGGCTTTACTTCTAAATGAATATCTGTACTTAGAAAATGTCATCATCTTATGCTTCATTTTTCCATTTTAAATTTATTTTTGATCAACACAGACAAGAAGTCCTGTAAAACAACAAAACTTCTGAACTCCTATGCTGTCAGTTTAATTCCATTGATCTCAGGGGAAATTCAGCGCGAGATCTTGCAGGGAACAAAAACGTGCAGTCTTAGGGCCCACATTTAGATGTCAAATTATATTTACTTAATAATGGAATCAGTATATGTTGTATATTGTAATTATGTTGCCCTTAGATCATTATTGCATAATGGATGTTTGGAGGTCTATGGAGGTCTTACCAGATGAGTCGGGTAAACACACATTGTTAGTTTCAAATATTTGGTAGCCAAACTGGAGAAAGTACAACAAAAGTCTTAACTCATTATGTGTGCCGTACCTGGGCTAATAATTTATACCATACCCTACTCTTAAAACAGAAACTTGAATGCTTTAATATCAAAAAGCAAAATGTAGCTATACATCCTCTCAAATAAACATCTGGAGTGTCACTGATACATCACAGAAAACCAGAAATTAAAGTGTTCCACATTCGCAAGACTGTGATTATTACCAAAACATATTATCCTTCAAAACATAGTTTTACATTATCCCTGTATGAATTAACACAAGTCCTAGGGTCTGCATAATTCAGGAAGCCAGCTTAGATGATTGGAGATGTGTGAACCATGCTTCACTTGAAAGGATCTCAAGTCATTTTATGAACTTTATCAGGTGAAGGCTTACAGGTTTCTCTCTGGCTTCATTCCTTCTGACACTTCAGTTTAGAAATGAAGACACTGAAATTGAATGAAAAAAATAATGCTAGCAAGGTATCATAGCAAATATATATCCTTTATATAATTATCTATACAGTGTTTCTCTTTCATTACAGACACAGTATTGGATCATAAGATAGTGATTTCTTTATGAAACTTACATTTTTATGGGTATTTTTTCAATTTGGAGTTGGAATTTATTTAGACTAAAGTCACAAATGATTAAACTTTGAAAAATATTTAACAGAAATCCCTCATTACTGATGTAAGTTGTGTACACCCTTACCTTTGGAAGTAAGCACTAGGCTGACATTTTCTAGATGATGGGAAACTTAACAGTTACTGCTTTACAATTTTCTGCATTAATGTGCATACAGTTTCATCATACTTGCAAGGATGGCATTTCTTTTAAGTTAAAACTAGGTTTATTTAAACATCTGGATGAACTTAAACTCTCAAGATCTCCTCTGTAATAATTGTCAAGAAATGTCCTCATTTTATGAACATTTATAAATTCAGTAAGTAGTTGGTACACAATAATCATAGAATTATAGAATAATTTTGGCTGTAAAAGACCTTTAAGGTCATTGAGTCCAACTGCCAACATAGCACTGCCAAGTCCATCACTAAACCATGGCCTTAAGCACCACATCTACACGTCTGTTATATGCCTCCAGGGATGGTGACTCCTCCACTTCCCTGGGCTTTGCACTCCCTCATTTCAGAAGAGGCCCCAGATATTTAATGGGAATGGGCTTACTTTCTCACTCAAAGAGCAGAAAAAAATCAAGATGCCAAGAAATAGGAAAAGGATGTCTTTTGTCCTATAATACATGATAAAAACAAAGAGCTGTGCATTATAGCCCCACTGAAATGCACCAAAGAGCTTTAGTAACTTGTCTATAATCAGCAATAGCAAAAAAAAAAAAGTGTCTATTTTATTTTCTGTTTTTCCCCCTACGTTATGATTGATAGAAATCTGGAATTATTTTCTGACAATCACATATTTGGTGTGAACATGACATTAGGTTTTACTGTCTTTCTCTTTTGCAGGTTGTTCTGGTTAACCTGTTGATATGCATGGTAGTTTTCTACACTGTGTACTATGTGGTCCTATCTCTGTGCTTCGCAGTATTCAAGTAAGATTTCCATGTCTTTAGTCTGATATGCTCGCATACTGCAACTCGATATGATGGGGAGAGCTATGACTGTTCAAAGGAAGCTTCTGGACTGGAGACATCCAGTCCCAGATACTCTGTGAACGCATTTTTCAAATTTAGTTAAATTGTACCTGGACCTTCTTTCAAATTCACAAATTGGCAAACAGACTCAAAACTAATATAAAATGTTGGTTCTAATATACTTCCTTACACTTGCACTATGTAAATAACTGAATGTAAGAGAAAAGATGACATGAAAAAAGGAAAAGTAAGATTTTACAGTCGATAAAAAGACAAATTATATTCTCTTGGGAAGTTATTGATTAGCATGTAAAGTGACAAACATTGTAAATAAAAGTGGGCAAAGGCAAGACCACAACACAGAATGGGACCTAGAGAGCTTGTAAAAGCCCAGAGTTTTCCATTTGAAATCATATTTAAAAGCACTTGTATGTCATGTAATCACTAAGGCATTACTGATAATCTCTGGCTGAATTTATTCATTCTGTTTCCACAGGATTAAAATGTTGGATGGTTTGGCACCTTTTGATTTTAAGACAAATCCCTCATGGATTAACCCCTATTATTTAGGTATTTGAAGTTTGTTTCTCTTTTTTTTTTCCCTCAATCAAGAAAATAGATTGCATGTGGATGTAAACTTGTCTTTGTTATGGACAGTATTTTAAATTATTTGTTTAGTAATACTAATGATTTCTGTATTTCAACTACAGTGCATTTAAATGCTTATTTATCTTGCCAGCAGTTCTTATTTCTGTATTGTTAGTTGTCATAGAATCATAGGATAGTTAGGGTTGGAAAGGACCTTAAGATCATCTAGTTCCAGCCCCCCTGCCATGGGCAGGGACACCTCACACTAAACCATGTAACTCAAAACTCCATCCAAACTGGCCTTGAACACTGCCAGGGATGGAGCATTCACAACCTCCCTGGGCAACCCATTCCAGTGCCTCACCACCCTTACGGGAAAGAATTTCTTCCTTATATCCAATGAAACTTCCCCTGTTTAAGTTTTAACCCATTTCCCCCTTGTCCTATCACTACAGTCCCTAATGAAGAGTCCCTCTCCTGCATCCCTATAGGCCCCCTTCAGATACTGGAAAGCTGCTATGAGGTCTCCACACAGCCTTCTCTTCTCCAGGCTGAACAGCCCCAACTTCCTCAGCCTGTCTTCATACAGGAGGTGCTCCAGTCCCCTGATCATCCTCGTGGCCCTTCTCTGGACTTGTTCCAACAGTTCCATGCCCTTTTTATGTTGAGGACACCAGAACTGCACACACTATTCCAGCTGAGGTCTCACAAGAGAAGAGTAGAGGAGCAGGATTACTTCCTTCAACCTGCTGGTCATGCTCATTCAAGTGATTGTTAAGATTTTTCCTTGAGTGGCTCTTCTGATCTTGCATCATATGAAGAAAACTTCTGCTTTGCCAGGATGTTTCATTTTCATTGCAGAACAGTTACCTTTCTCTGTAAAGTTTCTTCAGAGAGTTGTAAATTTGCTTTTCATACTGCAGCAAATTTCTTATAAATTACTAGATCCATATCTGGGATACACTCAAATAATGGAAATTTTGCTTTGGTAATGCCTAATACAGTGGGCATTAAAATTTCAGGTTTTATTATAGCTCAAACCCTAAGCATAAATTTATATACCCTAATAAAAATGTATGCATTTTTGTCTGAAGTTCTCAACCTTAAATTTTACCAGATTTTTAATCTCTTTTACAAAGGCAAACCACATCATCTGTCAGTAAAGTAAGTAAAGCTCAAATGCAAATTGGTTAGTTCATCACGTTAAAAGGAGTAATACAAATTCACGGATATTTGTACAGTTTCAATACTGATTTCAGAGGAAAAAAGACCATTTCAGTTGCAGCAGTGGAAAAGAAAATTAAATCATATTCAATTAGAATGACTTTTAAGGGCCCTAATGTAATTACTGTATTTCAATATTATTTTTTTTCCCAAAAGAATTTTATCAGCTAGTTTGATGCAGCATTTTTTTATGCCAAAGACAGCAACTATTTCATGCGAGTGGTTAGGATTCCACCCTCCCTTCTGTCCACCCAATGAAATAACATGGAGTAGCAAAACATAACAGGACCAGTTTAAAGTCTGTGGGCACAGAGACAGAGCAAAGGTCTCTGAATGGTGTCGCAAATGAAAATTAGCTTACTCAAGATTCTCGCTTGTGCCTGTTAAAAACAAAATTATGTCCTTAAAAGATAACCTCAAAATAAGAATGAAGTCAGCTGAGAACTGAGGTGTCATTACTGGCCCAGTCTTGTAAAAAGTTTAAACAGCATCTCTCTACACTATGCATACTTTCTAAATTATGAAACTGTTGGCATAATTTAAAGTGATACTGTCATCATGATATGAAATAAACTAAAAATACTAAAATACATTGTTAAACATTAAATTTTTTGCAGCATTACTACCCACTTTCCTTTTTACCTTTTTCTTATTTTTTTCATGTTTTTAAACTGTTGGGTGATAGATACCTTAATACAGTAGGAACTAATTGAAAAAAATAAAATTCTGTAGAGAAATTCTATAAAGAATTCTATAAAATTCTAAAAAATCTATAAAGAAAATAATAAAATTGAAAGTGCAAAATGCTGCCAAATGTATAAATTAAATACAGAGTTGAAAGATAACGATGGCCTCTTTACTCAACTACAGTAATCTTAGGTATTACATTACTGCAACAGTGAAAAAAAATCTATTAAAAATACAACTTTCATATGCATGTATACTGAAAAAGAATGAAATGCATTTACACGGAAAATCATGTGAATTACAAATGCACCATTATGGCCAGAAGAGAAATCACACGTTTTTCCGTTTAATCCCCTGCTAACCAGGTACCCACCCAGCATAAAGTCAAACTTTCCCCTGAAAATTATCGGGTTTTATCCTGTTACATGTAAAAGCAAGTAAAACAAGCTAAGCATCACTTCATCGCTGTGTTGAAGAATACAGTTCATCAAAAGCCATGTGAGGTTCCTCACCATTCCCAGTGTCACTGCCCCATGCCTTCCAGACTGTTCTCCTGCCTTTGGGGGAGGCACAGCTTGTCCTGCCACTGCTTTTGCAGAGCTGTGCCCACATCAAGGGAGGTGTTTGATGCAAGCTGGTGGCATCACATGGCTTGGCACACTCCAGAGGTAAAACCAGGGGACAGAAATGCACTGTTTTGTCACTGAGAGAAGGAATTTTCTTGATCAGATAACTTTAATGGTCTCTTTTGACAACATAATGTAGTTGTTATCAATTTTCTGGTAATCCTCATTTATGGTTTAACAAACACAGAGCTAGCTGCTGAACGTCAGGCACAATGATAGCATGGTACCTATGACAGCACTGAGAAAAGCCAGGCTCCAGGTTGTACATACCATGAAATTAATACAGATGGGTGGCCTCTACTCACCTTGTAGGCTCTCTGCTCTATCTCCTCTTGCATATCTTAATTGTTATAATTGTTTTGATATATATCTGTATATATTCTGGTATATGTCCTAAATGATGCTATTAAGTCAACAGGAAGAAAGCTATGAAGTTTCATACCAAACAATCTATCAACCACACAAATCTGGTTTGGATGAGAAAAATTTTATCCAAGTCATTATCAGCTAAATCTATTTGGCACCGTAATTCAAAGAGTGTGGAGAGTTCATAAGTGAAATTTCCATGCTATTTCTTCTCTAGGCTATAGATACTGGTCATAATCCTCTTAATCCTTTTGTTTTTACATGAAGTATACAACATCTGAAAGTCTATAGGCAAATCAAGATACAACTCATGAAGATGTCTGTGGCAAAATTAGTAATGAACTTTATAATGGAGACATTAGTATAATATCTGATCTTGTAAAAAAAAATTAATAACCATCTCAGACATTTTAACTTCCTATTGCTATCATTTTGAATATAAGAAAAAGCATCCCAAAACTGTGTTTGCTGTAAATATCCTATTTTCATTTACAGTTCTTGTAATATCATTGGAAATAACTTTCTTCATTTGTGGTCTGTTGTTTGCCCTGGTTGTGGAAGAATGGGTTTGGGATTATGCCGTAACAGTTACTATTATTCATATCATCATAACTTCAGCTGGTAAGTAGGTTTACTGCTAAATATATGCCTAGTATCACAAATTGAAGAACCAATCAACTATGATTGATTTACTGGATTACTGGACTAACTTAATTTTTCCTTAATGCTAAATAAATATATACCCGTAATTTCCATTCATTTGACTCATTCATATATTTAAATCCTGCCATTTAAAACTCAGTTCTGGTTTTGCTGCAGAATTTTAAAATACTAGTTTCTTATAAGAAATTCAGAGTTTTAGTTCATAATCTAGCAGTTCATATCAAATACAGAATTTCAGCTTCTGGGAGGTGTGTTTTTCTGTAACTCAAAAAACTAATAGCTGCCCATGTCCTGACACTTTAAGAACTACTCATTAACACTTCAGCTCTAGTTTAGAGTAAAAATGAGGCTTGCTGCAGCAAAGCTGATTCAAAGTTATAAATTAGATAATTTGAAATTAATCTGATTGAGGAAAATTAAGCATTTTGCCATTGAAGCCTCTTTTTTTGCCCTGAAACTCTTTCCCTCAAAGGAAAGAAAAGGGAAAGAATTGGCTGCTATAAATGAGACTCATCACTTTTTGCCAGCATCTGGTAACCTGCTCCCTCTTCTCATGCTGTTTAGCAGAGTGCTGCTATAGCTGATTAGGAAATATATTTTAACACCATCCTTGCCAGAGCCCATTTGGGGATCCTTTTCTCCTGTAACAATGAGCTCAGTGTATCTATTCTAGAATTTAGACATAGGAAAAAATATTACTCACAAATTAGGACTACTATCCCTACTTCCTACTATCCCTACCCCCTACTATCTAATAACTCATCTTCCATTTTCCAGTGCTTTATCCATTTGCCTTTGAGCATTTTGCACAGACAGAGATTCCCCAGTTCCCACAACTGGAGACCAACAGAAACTTCATCTTAAGAAATTAAGCATAATTTCTCATCTACTGATTTTTTTTTTTTCCTGGAATTTAAACTACTGTTGCTCCTTATGAATAACTTTAGTATTTAAATCAAAGAATTACAAAAACTACAACAAAAGCCGCTTTATATATAATTCATGCAGGAAGGTATGGTCTATAATTATATTAGATAACGCATCTTGATGTCCGAACAACCCCAGGTTTGTTATTGTTTCTTTCAGATGCCCAACCAAATCTCTGATGGCGAGCTTAGCTGCCAGTATATGCAATATGTCCCCCAGCATACTTTACTAGCTCTACACTCCTGTCAGCTTTTTTCTGGGGGGGAGGGAGGGCAATGCTGTGTCATGCAGCTGATCATGCAGTGGAAATGTGGGTCAGCCTGCACGAGGCAAGGGCAGCGCCTGGCACAGGAGAGAGCATACCGTGCAACAGTGCTAACTTGTAGTGTGCAGCCCTAACCTGTCTGCCATGCACTGCATCACCCATTTAACTGAAAATGTCAGGCAGCTTAATTTATTTGGATTGAAGCAATATGTAGGCACTCTACCAGGGGATCGATATCTCTGTTGTGCTAAACTGTGTACACGCAATTAATAAAAAAAACATTTCTTCCACAGAGTCGAAGAGTTCTCTTTAGCACACACTAGGTTTAAGACTTGACTTCCATGGGATCATTCACCAGGCTAAGCTTAATGGCATGCCCCACTATCTGAATGATCAGGACCTAAATATGGATTTTCAATTTCAATAAATACAATTTATGAAACGTAACTAAGAGGACCTTTGATAACATAATATAATACTTGCATGTCCCCATCTTTATTGTTTAACAATTTGCATTTCTCCTTTTCTTCTCTTTGCAGTTATGTCTGAATTCCCCCTCATGTTACACTGGTGGTTGGCATTAGGTATAATTACATTATTTAAAGTTTAAATTGGTAGACTCTGCCTAGAAAACTAGTATTTGAATTATTAATTGTTTCTATTAAATGTCTGTTGTCTCACTAATTTGAGAATTAATATAGCATATCTTTAATTTAAAGAATAGATATATACTTTCATTTACACTTCTTTTAATGACACATGCAAGTAACGATGGGCTAACATGTGCCTTGCCTAAAAAAATATTCTGTTTTAAGACCAGAATGTACTCAGTTTCTGTTAATCTAGCTAATGAACAGCAGATACACTCATGTTCTTGAAATAAATCATGATTAAGTCCTGACTAATCAAACTATCTCACTTAATTCAGGTGTTAGAAAGGCAGCTGTCCAAACAAGTCTTCTTTCATAACCCTTATAATCAATGAAAAGAAACAGGAACCTTCAGAGGCAATTTTTATAAATACTATGCACAGGTACTTATGACAGCTGAGATAAATCCCAGTCATCACATTTTCTTACTGTGAATAGCAAACCTATATTTCCGAACATCTAATTTTCTGCAAAATTAAAAGCATAGCTTTGAACTAGAAAATATTATCTTGAAAAATAGTTAAAGTAAAAGGGCTAGCTTCTGGCCTTGCTTTATATGATGGATAACAAGGATCAACAGCTGCAGTAAATTCCTAAATGATGGGGACAGGCAAATAAATTCTCTGTCCTGTAACTGGTTTTTCAGCAGCAGCTGCTGGGGCTGATATCTTTGTAGGTGCTTAAAGCCTTGGGCAAAATGTTTAACTAGGCAGGCCATTTTTAAGAAAACTGAAGATAAAGAGAATGACTTTTTAAGGTTTTAACATTTGTATTCCACTATAAAATTTAATGTAAAACAGTCATATATTTTCTTTCAGGATCTGGAGTAATTTCAATGATTTGTGGAGGACAGATTTTGGCATACTGCTTATTCAAAGACAACTTCATTTACCCGATTCTAGATGATTTTTGAAAAGGAAAATTAGAACTTGTCTTTTTATTTACATGAATTCTATGGTCTCATTAACAACATAATTAAGTTAGCAACTGTCTAATCGTAAAGCGAATATTTAGCTTACCAGATCTCTTGTATCTTGTTTTCAATGTCAATGTCATCAGTCTTAGCTGTTGCATGTAATCACTTTTAGCTTTTGTATGTGCAACTTCCATTAAACAAATTATTAGATATGCTGTCTCTTTTTTAAAATACAACAAACCATAAGGAGGATAGGAGCAATGAGACAACTCTCTTGCAAAATTTCATAAGAAAAAGGGAAAAACAGACTTGAATGTTTTCAGGGTGCTTGGTATCTATTGTATTCTATGCAATGTTGACTCTGGTTTAGGCTGGAGTCTGACCTTGTATAAGCACTGCAAAACTGTAAAGTCTGCTTATCTAGCATAAATCACTGGAGTTTTAAAGCAGTCTTTACTTACAAACCCCTGGCAAAGAAGAATCTGTGAACAGCACAGAGCTCCCCATCTCTTCCCATCTTAAAGTTTTCACCTAGAAGCTAGTCAAGAAAACAGCAGGCACACAAGATGTACAATCTCCAATGTTTGGTTGACCCCCTTGCTTCCAGGGATGCTACAGATAAATGTTTTCTACAATAGCTTCAGGCTGTTCTCTTGCTAATGATCTATTTATGGCCCGGCTCTGCTGGAATGAGGAAAATGAGGAAAGGCAAAGGCTTCTGACAGCCACTTTTTTACATGCTCCTTTCTCTCTCACCCAGCTGCAAGTGGTCAATGCAGAAGTGTATTTATGGGTAGTGGAATTAAAACCAACAAACAAGCCATAGTAGTGGCTTCAAGTAATTCTTTATCTCTTTAACCATAATAAAGTTGTAACAGGAAAATTGCTTGAAGGCAACTTCATCTTAAATACGATACCAGTGATTGGATTTCAACTGCAGTTTGTTCAGAAGAGCAAGAGTGGATTTTTGTTTGCACAGGAGTGCTATATGTGCGTTTGCCTTAATCTTACTCAACAAATAATGCTTCTGAAGAATCTGTCCCCCGCTGATCTAATCAAACATCTTAAAATTTATTGCAAGCTTTAAAATTTTCAGTGAAGGTTCAATACTGAAAGCACATACTCAGTAAGAAGCATGTTTCAGAAGACTCCCAAAAGAATGAGTTTGTATCTCATGAATGGTAGATATGTAAGTCATTTTAGAGACAACCCAGATATGTAAATACATAGCATTAAGTAGAGGTAGACTTTACTTAATGAAGTCAGCTGAGATAATTCTGGAGAGTGAATTAACTGACCCGCACTTATCAGTGGTATGAACCGTGGACTGTTTTTAGTTTGACCGATTTGTATCTCCAGAAACATTAGTGTACAAATAACCATCTGGTATTACGTGTTTGAAAAATGCTTGCACATTTCTTCTAGATTTGTTTCAGTTCAGAACTATAAAAATGGATGGAAAGGAAGTACTTGTTCTCACACTTTTGTGTGTAGGTAGTGTGCCATGTGGCAGAACATGAGTGGATTAGGTATAAACTTAATCCATGGGTGGAATAAGTTTCTATTTTTAACCTGATGGGATTTTCCTCAATGCATGTCAGCCCAGCTGGAGCTTGTTGTAGGTCTGTTGCCCAGTCTTGACTTTTTTGACTTTTTGTTTTCTATTTAAAACTTAAATCACCAAAAGGGATACCTTCAGGCTAATATGAAGAGTGCTTTAGTCCCAGGATACCTCCAAAGCATATACAACAAGGCCAGTGCTAGAAAAACAATCACATCAAGAACTCTATCAAGGACTAAAAGCCTCACTCCAGCTATCAAAGAGACATCATCTCTGTGCATTACTTTCAGATACAGAATTGTGAGAAAATTTCAGCATTATTTATTTCATCTTCTCCATCACTGTTATGTTGACCATCAATAATAAATATTACACAAAATATTTAGTGTAGAAAGAGCTCATGATATACAAATAAATATTCATCACGTAAGCAACATAAGCTGTATCTGTGTAGGCATTACCTGGTTAGAAGACTTCAGAGATAATACCTAATAGTGTGTGATTTCTATCTGATACACCAAATCAGTACTTTTGAATACGACAAACCTGGCTGTTTCTGGAACAATAATAAAGTGACCCACTTGAGCAATTTGCATGTGACTGATAACAGTCAACACACAGGTGGGAAAGAAGAGCTGCTGAAGAAAATGAAGGTCACTCTATATGTTTCACAACAGACCTGCCAAAGACATAAAGAAAAGACCACTACAGAAATCAGAAGGGAAACAGAGAAAACAGCGTCAGGGACATGTGTTTCTAAAAAAAAGGCACAGTGAAAGCAAGAAATGGACAAGATCAGTGAAAGTAATAAAAATCTGCAGACTGAACTTGGAGCTCTGGAGTCTCATGACATGCGACTTCTATGCCACTTGTATACCACAATTTGTATTTCTGGTGATGTATACATGACTCTAGGAAAGGTGTCTCCACATCCATAGTTCTAACTGTAATCTGAGATGCTATGCCTGCAGCTTCTGCCCCAGAAGTTACAGAATTCTCTGCTTTCTGACTCAGCTAGACAAAGGAATATTATTTAATTTAGCTAGTGTGGGCTTGGTGTTAAGATATTTAACCCCTTGTGATACAGTCTAGTAGTCATGAGTTTGCACAGGTATCAGTGGGGGCTTAAAGAGCCTAGAACACATTACAAGCAGATGGAAGCTTTATCCACTTCCAGGCAGTTTGTAGAGAAGAAGGCTAGAAGTTGCAAATATTAGATATAAAAATCAACGGACCAGTACATAAATGGCACACCTTAATAATACCATACTTAAAGTAATTTTAACATTTTTTTTTCAGAGGCAAGAAACTCCTTTTCATCCTATCCAACCAACTACTAAGACAGATTACAGTTCTCAATTCAGCCCTCTCTAAAATACTCTGCATTCATTCTTGCTCCAAATGAAGTGTCTTGCTTGTAACAAAATGCAAATGAAATACAGTTTGTTGGAGACTCTAAGCATATTCTAGGCTAATAGCACTGCCTTCAGTGTAATGTCAAAGAGTAAGCCAATTAGAATAGTTGTTCTGGGACCAGAAGATTCTCTCAAATGTGTAAAACCAACCAAATACCAAACTATGGAGTACAGACAACATAATGATTTTTAGTTGGCATTTTGTGTAAAAATATTGTTTAAATACTTCTAATTTCCTAGTGAAGTCAAGAGCTGGTTATTCAACTAAGACTGTAATTTTTTCCATGTCTGTAAATTACTTGAGCAACATTTCCATCTTTTTTGTACTTAAGTTTCAAAAAGCAAGCAAACCAAAACCCTACAGTACTCATTATTTCTGTATTTCTAAAAGTACCAGTAATTACAGAAAACACAGTATGAATACTAGATCACCAGCAATGGGTAGATGAGTCACCTGACTGCAGTCTCCTACTGCAGATATTCATGCACAAGATTCCTGTGGCCCACAGTCTCTTGACTAGAAATACCCATCATGACCAAGTAAGCTTTCTTAAACTGAAAAAAGATGTGCAAGCCGTACACATTCGTCACTTCATCATCTGGTGTATATGTTGTCATACCGTAAAGCTATGTCATTGTTAATCTCCACAGGCATTTAAATCTTTATTTAAATATTTTGCGTCTTCCAAATGTGACTTAGAATGTTTATTTCTTCACTTAAGATCCTGTGTAATGATCCATCTGCTCAGTAATGGCTAATGCTCTAATCTGTCCTTTTTATGAGCTAATCACAGTCCCAGACGGCATGCACTCCCTCATCAGATGACGGAGAGGATAAAAGTCTTAGGAATGGTTATAAAATGTGATGGTGTAATTAATACCTTTATTATTGGCTTTAAACCTCTTAGTGTGAGGCTATGATCTGAAGATGTAGACTAGTGTCCCAACCTCTCCTCTGCTCAGGGAGAATGATACCCACCCCCTTCAGAGTCCCTCTTTAGATGCACTAGGATAATTATTGTAGGGCAGGCACAGGCTGTGATGGACTTACATCCTACTCCATCCATTCTCCAGCACAGGGGACCAAACAAATACCTTGCAGTCTCTCCCAGTTCATAGAGTCAGACTTCTTCTGCCAACAGGGGTGAAAGAAGGGAAAGATGTGCTTGAATGTTCACCCTGACATGTAGTTGTAGCATGGCATTGGCTTTGACAGGGGATTTGAAAAGCAACAATAGGATACCAAGTATGGACAACAAACATTTAGGGAAAGGCCTTGGCCCCAAACTTTTAAGGTTGTCTACCCCTAGAAAGCAGCTGCAATCAAATATAAGGATGATGGCTCAAACTAGAGCCTGTAAGAAATATGCAAGGTACTTTCAGTACCTTGCTGTCATTGTCCTAAATCAAAGATAGTCACAGCCTGGCCACTGATGTTCCATATTTTGCAATGAAAATAAATCCTTGTATAAGATTGTTTGTTCTGGATTTGCAAAATGAGTTGTAAACAAAGGGTCCAATCTGCTTCCAACAGCAAAGATCATGTTATCTCTACTGGAATAATACTCTATCAAAAGACCACTTGTTTGTACCCAGACCCTCTCTCAGAGCAAACTTGTTAACGGATTTTCAGCATCAAAAAGATGAGTGTTTAAATAAAACACAGCTAATGACAAAATGCTTTAACACATTAAGAATTAACAAATCCTTAGCAGTCTTCAGAACCTTTGCACTTAAGTTACATCTACAACAGTACCAGTCAAAATATACTGAAAACATGCTTTGATTAACTTCATAAACCTTGATGAAGGTCCACACAAAGAGGTACCATTAAAAATTACCAAAAAAACCTCTATGTGTTTGATATTTCATATGGTATTAACTGAAAAAATATTTGTAGATATTAGCCAAATTACAAGAGCAAATTCAATGGCAATTCATATTTACATTAATTTGGATTTAGTATTTAAAATTAATCTGAATTCTAAGGAATTGTTTCAACACTACTTCACTGGAAAATTACAGTGAATCCTGTGAAAGTAGGCAGTATTCCTTAGTACATGTCCAGGAGAGAGAAGGGC